GGGGGGGGGGGGGGTGGGAATCAAAGCACTGAAACCATACCCCAAACGAAGGATGCGTGGAAAATAGGAGGACTGGAAAATTTCTGGGCCAAGAAGATCTGTCTGTCTTCTGTATATACCCTGTAGATCCGAATTTGTGTAAGGAATTTTGTGATCACAAATTCGTATCTAGGGGAATATGTAGTTGACATAAACACTCCGCTCATTTTTTTTCTGAAGAAAAAAATCTTTTTTCCTAAATGAGGACCATCCGGTGACACGAAGACTCCTTTCTTTTTCTTTCTTCCTTTTTCTTTTTCTCCCTCAACTGGTTAGAGATGGAGGAATCATCTACCTGAAATCTACCCATGCCTGCCCTTGGGAGCCTTGGTCCTTTTTCACTTCTCTTAAAAGGTTAATGTTGTTGCTGATGTTTTTATTTTGTCCTCTCCCTTTGGTCCAGCTATTTCCTATTTTGAGTTCAGGGAGGCTTCACTGAAAATCTGGTAAAAATGACTATTGTCTTCAGTGTGCGAAGGGAAAGGAAATTCACTTTTCAAACGGATGCAGAGGTCGCTTTTCCGTTTGGGTGCAGAACAAGATGCCCTGGAAACACGCTATTACCAAAGGGTGTTATTGTGTGGGGATCACCCAGGCTCCTATCCTTAGCATCACAAGGATGAGAGATTTCTGCTCGCTGCTGAGGCGCGGCATTAATGGCAATTAGAACATCTCGCCGCCGCGGTTAGCCGTGCTCCGGTGTTTCTGGAATTAGCAAATTGTTATTCAACGTGCTCTCAGAAGTTGGAGGTTTTTTACTCCAGTGTTCATGTTCAGTGTGGGAAACTAACTCGTTTCTCCCGGTTTGGGCCGCGTGGGATGAGGGGAGGAGTGGAGAGGAGAGGGGAACAGACGGACTGACTGACACAGCCAAACTAATAGCGCAGCTAAATGCGATTTGGAAGGCGAGGTCTCCCCGAATTAGTGCATGAATTTCCTATCGATCCGCCCGTGGTTCCATTCATCTCTGACAAGTCCCTCCGTACACCCGCCTGGTTGCTCCGACGCCTCCTCCTTCACTCCCTACCCCTCCCCGTGCGGCTGCACAGAAAAGGCCCACGCTCGATGCCTCGTTCCCCCGTGTGGGTTCTCCTCTCCAGGCGGAGCCCCTACTCCGCCCCTCACTTAACTCTCCTGCTTAGACGCTGGGTGCAGATGCTCCACACGCCCCATCGATAAGAGGGACTAAGACCCTAAGGAAGGCCTGGGTGGGGGCAGAACGGGAGGGGCCATATTCAGAGCCCCAACTTCGGAGGGGATCCAGGGATTGCGCTCCGCTCAGCGCCCCAACAGGCCCTCGGGTGGCAACCTGCTCACTCGCTCTCGCTCTCTCTCCCTCCCTCTCCCCGATCCAGGAGAGGCGAGGCGAGGCGAGGAGGCGGTGGCCCCGCAGGAGCCCTATGTAAATCCTGGTGTTGGGTGGGTAGGGAGGGGGGTGGAGAAGAAGGGGAAATAAACCTCTTTGGCTGGAGTAGGGTCCGGGTGAGCAGATTTCCTTATCCGGGAATCGCAGGCGGGGCGGCCATTGGCTCCGAGGATCACGTGGGCCCCTAACTTTGTTCACTTGACAGTAAGTAGGAGGGCTTTCGGAAACAGGAAAACGAGTCAGGGGTCGGAATAAATTTTAGTATATTTTGTGGACAATTCCCAGAAATTAATGGCTATGAGTTCTTTTTTGATCAACTCAAACTATGTCGACCCCAAGTTCCCTCCGTGCGAGGAATATTCACAGAGCGATTACCTACCCAGCGACCACTCGCCGGGGTACTACGCCGGCGGCCAGAGGCGAGAGAGCAGCTTCCAGCCGGAGGCGGGCTTCGGGCGGCGCTCGGCGTGCACCGTGCAGCGTTACGCGGCCTGCCGGGACCCTGGGCCCCCGTCCCCGCCACCGCCCGGGCTGTCCCCTCGGGCTCCCGCACAGCCGCCGTCCGGGGCCCTCCTCCCGGAGCCCGGCCAGCGCTGTGAGGCGGTCAGCAGCAGCCCCCCGCCGCCTCCCTGCGCCCAGAACCCCCTGCACCCCAGCCCGTCCCACTCCGCGTGCAAAGAGCCCGTCGTCTACCCCTGGATGCGCAAAGTTCACGTGAGCACGGGTGAGTGCGTGGGCACCCCTTCCCCCTCCCACCCCCGGCGCTTTACACCAAAGGGACCTCAAGGCATGGGGGTGGGGGGAGCTAGGGGAAGCCAATTGTCCCCGCTATAAACTCGCCATTGCCGGAGATTTACGGTTGCCTGTTTTCAGAGCCACATAATTACATCCCCCATAAATTTTTATGGCCTGGTGGGCCCCGCGCCTTTGAAGTAGGTTCCCCATCCTCTTTGCCATTCTCACCAGCGACTTTTTCGCCAGGGAGATGCAGTCTCAGTGAAGTTGGAAATTGGGGAGGGGTGTGAGAGGTGGGGGAGGAGAAGGGGGAGGAGGTAATCTGTATTTAAGCGGAGAGTTGAGTCAACTCGCAGTATTTATTTTTTCCTTTCTTTCCTCTAGTCTGGCTCCTTGGCTAGTGGGCAAAAGTTTTTACTGGGGGCAGGCACTACTTGGAATCGGAACATAGAGGGTGGGAACTAACAGAAAGGTTTAGGGAAGCCCCCTCCCTCTTTCACCCCTCATTCTCCCATCCCGGGCCCCAGGCCAAGGGGGGGGGGAGAGATGAGCGATTAAAACCTTGTGAAGATTCCTCACTCCTCCCCGCCCCCCCAAACAAGAACGTCGTGACCGCACAGTCGTCCAAAACTTAGAGGTCTCTTTCTCCTCCTGGGGTCCCGCTTTCTCCTCCGTCCCCACCCCCTCTGGAGGAAGAAGAGGTGGCGGGAGAGGGAGGGAGACTCTGCGTTAGCGGGAGGAAAGGGCTCCCCCTCCTCCCTTTCGGGGCAATAAAACTTTCTCTTTCTCCCTCTCTCTGTGTGTGTCCAGTCAACCCCAATTACGCCGGCGGGGAGCCCAAGCGCTCTCGGACCGCCTACACTCGCCAGCAGGTCTTGGAGCTGGAGAAGGAATTTCACTACAACCGCTACCTGACTCGGCGCCGGAGGGTGGAGATCGCCCACGCGCTCTGCCTTTCCGAGCGCCAGATCAAGATCTGGTTCCAGAACCGGCGCATGAAGTGGAAAAAAGACCACAAGTTGCCCAACACCAAGATCCGCTCGGGCAGCACCGCAGGCTCAGCCGGAGGGCCCCCTGGCCGGCCCAACGGAGGCCCGCCGGCGCTCTAGTGCCCCCCTTGCGGGAGCCGCGAACCTCGGGGCGGGGGTGGGTTGCGAGCTCGGGGGTGGTTGGGGGAGACGAGGGAGGGGACCCTGGGGCCTGGGCCCGAAAAAGCCCACCTGCCCTCCCCCCACGTTGTCTATTTACATGAATAAATGCGGAGGAGGGGGGAGGGGAAGCTTTATTTATAGAAATGACAGTAGGGAGCCGGGTGAGGCCCCCCAGAAGCAAGGTTCAAGTCTCTTGCTTTCTTCCTTAAAAAAAAAAAAAAAGAAGAAGGAAGAAAGAAAAAGACAGAAAGAGAAATAGGAGGAGGCTGCACTCCTCATTTTCAGCTTTGGCGAAGATGGATCCACGTTTCATCTTTAATCACGCCAGGCCCAGGCCCATCTGTCTTGTTTACTCTGCCGAGGAGAGGACGGCCTCGGTGGCGACCATTACCTCGACACCCGGCTAACAAATGAGGCCCGGCCCGGCCGCCGCCGCCTCTGCTGCTGCCGCTCTTGGAAGACAGTCTGGATTTTCTTTCTTTGTCCCTCATTCCTGAAACCCAGCGAAAGCATCCTCTGACTGCCAGATAGCACAGTGTTTTGGCCACGGTAACAAACACGCGCACACAGCCTCCTTCCCCCTCCGTGCCCGTTCACCCCCCTTCCACCTTGGGGCCGGGGTGGGGACGACAGGCTGGGGACAGGTGGACGAAGGGTGCCTCGGCTGCGCAGGAGCAGGGCAGGGTAATTGAGTCCGAAAGAAAAAGAGGACCCAGAGACCGGGAGGGCCCTCCTTTGGAAGGTCAAGCCATGGCTGGCGGGGTGAGAGGCCAGTTGCCTTCTGGGAGCTGGACACAACCCTCTCCCCCATCTAGAGTTGTGCAGTGGAGGCCTTTTCTCCTAGACTGAAAGTGAATGTGAAACTAGGAAATAAAATGCCCTTCCCATCTGGGAGATAAGGTTACAGAGACCTCTCCCATAGTTTATCATTGTTGCATTGATTATTATTATTATTATTAATTATTATTATTATTATAATTTTATGTCATGTGCGTCTGTCCTCTCTCCTATTCTCTTTCTGACATTCCAAACCAGGCCCCTTCCTAGTCCTGGGGCTGCTTGAGTCTAGAACCCTTCGTTGGTGTGAAAATGTGTGTCCTGTACAGAGTGACAATAGAAATAAATGTTTGGTTTCTTGTGATCAGCACGGCGTGTTTTTGTTGAAATCTTGATGTAAAGATGCAGACCAATGCCATCCAGTGTATATTTTAAGTACCCCAGTCCATTCGGCCTCACATTAATGTGGTTGAGGAATTTTTTCAAAGGATCCAATGGGAATTTCTATCTCAGAGGACTGCAAATGGTGGTAGCTGGTGTGTTTTCCTTTTGGGGTGGGTGTGTTTTGTTTGGGGTTTTTAATTTTTTCCCTCTAGTCCAAAAATGGATTGAAAGGACTGGGAGGGCTGACTCCAGTCCCTAATGGGGAGAAAATGTTTCATTGTAGGACACAAGAGGCTTAAGTATGGCAAAAGCTTTCATATTGTGATTTATTTGTCATAAGCAAATAAAATGCGGTTAAAGCTGTCTCTTTCTAGACAGACGGCTCTTTGCTTATTAAAGTTGTGAGGGAGGATTCTGCGCGGCTGGCCTCTTTCCTCCCCGTAAGAAGGTATCCTTTTCCTCTGAGGTGTTTAAGGCTTTAATGAGTCTAATTTTTTGCACAGATGTTTCTGGGTGTTTGCAGGTTTTCAGAGTATTTTTATATTACAAAGGAGCTAGCCGGTGCCATAGCTCAAACTCTGACAAGCAAATAGATAATCAAGAAGACAAATGGCCTCTTTTGTGAAGCCCTGCTCCTGTATTAATTTTCATTTTCTTTCTCATAGAAAGTATCGAAAGTATGACTGGGGACCAAATAGCTTTCTGTCTCTGAGGTCCCAGTCACCCCTAGAATGGAATGGGGGAAGGGGGAGAGGGTGCAAGTGACCCTCAGAAGCTCTGGGGAGGCTTGGGCCACTTTGGGGTCAAGCCCAGGAGAAGTTCTAAGGCTCTGGTCTCGGACTCCGGTCCTGTGGTGGCCCCGGGTACAGCCATCCCGCCCCCCAAAATTTCAGGGCTCTGGAGAGCAAGTGCAATTCAAAGTCGTTTTTCAGTCCCAACTGGCTTCAGAAAATAAAACTAGTCAATTCCACCAACGCGTTTTACTGTTATTTCTTTTGCATTCCTCCAGTGTGCAGCTCCCGGGTGTTTGAGGCTGGCTAGGGCCCCGGGACAGACCGGCCCAGGGTCCACCGCATGGGAAGGGGTGTTTGAACCGCCCGTTTCAGTGCTGCGGGGAGACCCTTAGCAAATTGCATGGACCTGGAGGTTGAGAGCAGCGAGCTTTGTTTTCAGTAGAATCGCTGGTGTGATGTTTAGCTGCCCAGGGATGCAGCCGCCCTTCCCTTCTAGAGGGGGAAATAGTTCCTAAAAAGCATATTCCACCTCCCCCCCCAGGAATGTCTCTATAGAACCAAATCAAAGCTGCTCTTAGGAAGGTATGAATAGAATAAAAAAAAGATTTCTATGGAGCTTAAAGTTCACAGCCATTCTGTGTAGACAAGAGCTAAGAAAAATGTGAGAATTATACAGAAAACCATTAATCACTTCTTTTCTTTAAATACGTATCCTCTCTCCTTTGTTATTATTCAACAGCAAATCTCCGCAGACCGGCTGTTGGGGGAAAAAAGTGTTAGCCGCCACTCCCGGATCTGCAAGGGGGAAAAAATTTGGAACCATAAAGTTGAAAACTTTTTTCTCTCAGTTTGGAAGAAGCTGTTCGTCATGAATGGGATCCGTGGAGTTCAGGCGAGAGGAGGCGAGAGGCGCAAAGGTAACAAAGCCCCCGCCTGGGTTGGCTTTTTTTTTTTTTTAATCGTTTTATGAGCTCTTTTACAAGGGAAAGAAGAAATACTCTCTCGCCTCCTTCTTTTTCTTTTTCAACTATCTTCACAGGGTTTTTATGGTGGATGCTTGGTCCGGTTTTGATGCCTTTTATGATGACAGATGCTTGGGTCAGGGACTGACACCTGGAGAGTGTTTGAACTGACTGGGACTGAGGTGTTAGGACCCCAGAAAACCCCCAGAAAAGATAGGGAGGCAGTTCAGAAGTGCTTTCTGGTTTTAGAAAATGCAGCAGGGCCTGGGGAGCCCCAGAATATGTGTGTGTGTGTGTGTACTGAGTTGAGGTGTACTTGTGGCCTGTGAGTTCCATAACTCTGCTTGTCTACCCTGGGGGCTGGTATCCCACAGGTCTGTTTACCGGTGAGTTGTTGTCACTGCTACCTTCTGGAAAAATGGAAGGCAGTTTTGGGGGGTATAGGTGGATGTCTTCAGTTTTTCTTTTTGTGTCTAGCTTGGGATCCTGGACAAACATTTGCCACTCTCTGGAGCAGGAAACTGTTCTGCTTGCAGGCAAGGTTCGTTGACGCCAGAATCTTCCTCTTTGACTCTGCCCCCTCCCTTTTTCCTGAAGGCTCAGAGTTTAGTTTGCTTTCCTTCTGCTGTCTTGCTTTGGGGGCTCTGTTCCCCGCTCAGGGGCCCTGATTCTGAGGGTGAAGGAGCCAGTAGACTCTGCCTCAGACCAGAATGTGCTGGCCTTTCTTCCTTGGGACTCACTGAGGGTTTGGAAGTAGGAGACTGGCAGGAGAGAGAGAGTTCATGGAGAGGCCACGTTTTCTAGGCGATTAGCTCAGTATTAGAACCACAAAATGACCTCGGAAGCCCCTTGACCTCTCTGAGACTGGACATTGTGTTGGCTCTTGCCTCCTGCCCAGAAGGGAAAGTCACACCTCTGCAGCGAGGGGTCCTTGGGCTGTTGCATGTCCCATCTCCACCCCCCACGAGACCCCAGCCCTTTTTTTTTTCCTATCTTGAAGTTTCTGGATTATTTTTCTATTACTGTCCATTGGAGAGAAAATAAGCAAAAAAAAAAAAAAGCTCAGCTGGGGGAGGGAAGTAGGGTGCTGGTTTCTCTTCCTGTGCAGAGCTCCTTTCCTCAGGCACATTCACCCCCCCATCCTTGTCCAGTCCACCCCTCCTCCTTTCCTGTCCCTTTGGAGGGGGCTGCGGGGAGAAAGACAAAGGGAGACAGATATAAGAGGTCCAGGGGCTTCAGAAAGCTAGGGAAGCAAGCCCCTGGGTCTTAAGGAGAGAGAGGGCCCCACTGTGGTTACTATCTCTCAAGGTCTGTTCTCCAAATCCAAAGCTTCTTGACCCATTTTCTGAAGTCCCTTTGTTTAGGAAGCTATTTCTATAATCACTGTCACCCCCTTCCCCAGTCTTCAATCCCACCCCAGCGACTCACAGTGCCCAACAGAGTACCTCCCCACCAGAGGAGCAAGAGAGATGGGAGAAGGGTCAGTGGAGGCTGTCTGATCATTTCCAGGGACAGCTGTGCCACATTAACCAAAGTTTCCAACAACTTTTAAGAGGTGCATGGGGGATTTGTTAAGATGTGAACTCAACAGAGAGCCTTTCCAAATCTGAATTCTACTTGCTGTATCTTAAAAAAATCTATACCAGCAGCCATCCTCTTAGGAGGGGATAGAGACAAAGAGAGAGACAGACAGACTCCAGCTGGGAAAAGGAAATGTTACCTTCGTTAGGACTAGGAGAAACAGAACCTTGCTGGGATATATGTGGGATGTTGGTTTGCATTTTGTAAATTGTCTCCTATGTCTTGGGGACTGTCTCAGACAAGCAATAACTGGCTTGGCGTTGGTTGGTATCCTCTCCTTTGTCCCTGGGTGGCTTAACAAGTGCAGGGGCTGGTGGCCTTGGTAAGAAAAGGGAGCCAGCAGAAAGGCAAGTTGGACTCCTCCTGAAATGAAAATATTTGGGACTCAGGGGAGATGTGCACCCATAACTCCTCAGAGCAGATAAACTGTTGTGAGCCTATAGAGGCTCAGGTGACAAAGATCTAGTCACCTGGGTCTTTACAACCTACTTTCTGCCACGTGAGGATTAGATCCACGGAAGGGAAAGGGAAGGCTGGGGTTCCTTCAAATGGCAACTGAGGGACTTTCCCCCCACCCTCACTGCCAGACCCCCAACCTCTGTAGAGCTGAGCACGGCCCGGCAGGCTCCCCAGCCCCTTGGGCTCACCTTCTACAATTCTAGCGGCCACCTCTATCCTCGGAACCTTTGGACCGCTCTTCATCCAGTTCGTCGGCCCCCCCATGCTCCCTCCTCTTTGCACCCGCCTGGGCAGAGTGGGGTTGCCGGACCAGCCTGTGCCGGCTGCCGCTGGGGCCGCCCCAGCGCCCGTGGTGGGTCTCCCATGGAAGCGGCGGCCCCGGGAGGGGGGTCTGGTTGGAAAGCGGAGTTGGGAAGTTTCCCAGCGTGAGTTGAGCGCTGACGGATTTGTGATCGGCCATAAAACCGGCGCGTTCAGATTCGTAAATCAATCTTGCCTTTCTCACAGTATAAACGTTCGCTTTATCGGCAGCAAGAAAGCTCTCTGCTCGCGCCCCGGCGCTTGTTTATTTGAACATGGACATTCCCAGGATCCGAAAAGAGTGTGGGCATTTGAACAGAACCTGCCCGGCGTGCCTCCGTGTCACCGGCTTTTCTTTAGCTCGTCCTTAAAATGAATTTACCACTTTTGAGATTGGTGTCTTCCCATGCTCCCGCATACTCTCTCCTCTCTTCTTTGCTACCCCCGCCCCCGCCCTCTATTTTTCTTTTAGGCTTTAGTGGCCTGCTTTTCTTGGGGGGAGGGCAGTTTTAATGGATTTCTCTGGCCAGGACCTTGCAGGGAGTTGCCCTCGCCGGAGCCGGGCGCGCGGCTGAATTCAATACCAGTCTGCGTTTTGTATCTGCACAATCAAAGCCGATCACCCCCCTACAGAGCCCGGGCCGCCGGCGCCCCACCCGAGCGTTGAGAGCGGTATTCTTAGGGGATCAGGCCGGCCCAGTGCTCGGCCGGGGCCGCGCCGCCGCTCCCGCTGGACCCAGACGCCGTTTCTTCAGGGTGGTGAGGGCACCTGGGTCCTCAACTTCTCCCCCTCGAGTTGCTTTTGGTTGAGACCCCTCCAGACAAACCGCTGGCCGCTCCTCGGCCCCCTGCCCCCGCCCCAAACCACATCTGTTCTTTCCTGTCGGCCGGCCCCTGCGGCTGCCCCAGAGCTGCTGAAGATAAGGCTGGAAGTGTGGGCTGGGCGAGGGGCTCCTTCAGGAATGTCTTCTCTGCTTCCCTTTGCAACCCCATCCCACACCGTGGCCAAAGACTCCGATTCGATTCTGGGACTCTGGTCATATCTGGTCTGCTCCTTCTGGCGCCAAGCTGTATGTGAAGGTTTGGAAGGATGTTTTGTTTTGTTTATATCTGAGATGAAGAAGTCTGTGTATGTTTCTCTCTCTAGGCAGAGGGGATGGATTTCTTCTATCAGCACCGGTGTTTAACCCTTCAATATGAAACCCCTCATCTTTTTCCTATTGATCTGTCTCCATTGTCTGCTGATTGGAAGCATGAGGGGGTCCTAACACCTGGAAAATAGGAACTGGGTTGTCAGGCCAACTTCAAAGCCTCTTTCTTCCCTCTCCTCCCCTCCAGTTCAAACCTCTAGCTATCTTCACTGGTGTGTTGGGGGTGGGGAGGGACTGAGGCAGGGTGTGACAGAAGTACCCAGAGATTGAGCGCCCACTTCTTTTGTGTAGGAATCTTCTTAGTCCAGGTCTTTGTCTCTAGAGTGTATTCTCAGTAGAATTTGGTTCCCTATAACAGTAACAACACAAGGAAAAAAAGTCCCCCTTGTGGTTACTCTCAACTCTGGAAGCTCCCAAGTCATCTCTTCACCCTGTCCCTTTTCTGCCCTTTCAAAAGGTACCACAAAAGATTTTTTAAAAAAGAATTAAAGCCTTCTTTATACACATATAATCTGGATCTATGAAATGTTTCTTTTGAAGCTGGTCCCTTTAGAAATTTTGTTGGTCCTGTAAGGAAGAGGGGGAGTATGCCCCCACTAAAATACCCTAGGAGTGAGGGTAAAATAGAGTTGGGGAGAATGTTAATGTTAAAGGATGTAGAGAGAGGAACTGGATGCTGAGAAATCCAGGGGCTTGGAGAAGGACTCTGTGCCCATCCCACCCCACCCCCCAGACGCCCCTGCAGACTATTTCTGCACCTTCACAAACTAAGCAGTAGCAGGAGGAGAAGGGAGAGAGGAGAGGTGGGCTGTGGGTAAGTGTGTGTCTGGGGGGGATGCTGGTTAGGAAGTGTAGAAACAGCAGATACAGATATGAATGTGGGAAAGAGAACTGGCTACTATTCCATTGGTGGGTTGGGGGGAACCTATTTTGCAGGAAAATTTCTCCTCCTGAAGGGGAAGGTCATAGTGGTCCTTTGAGCCTGAAATCGAAAGACCCCCTTCCCCCTCCTGGTCACGTGATTCATTAAATAATTAATGCCGAGGTTGCAGAATAGATATGTATTCGTCAGGAAAATCACAGGCTCGGTCTCCCTGTTTCTGACGTGCAATTCAACTGTCCTTTGAAAAACAAGCCTGTACCCCGAGAAAAAAAAAAAGAGAGGGAGAGAGAGAGGGAGAGAGAGAGAAAAAGAGAGGGAGGCAGCAATAAAACAGCCCCGCAGCCGGAGCCACACCGCGGGCTGGGGTATTGTAAGTAGAAGGGATTTCTCACTACCTACCGCGTCTTATATGTCCATGTAAATTTATTGTTTGTTATTAATGTTATTGTCGTAAAATGTGACAAATAGCCATCTTCATTTCCTGCCATTTCTCTTCACATGGTGCTCTGTGTGTTTGTACCCATTGAGGCATTGCATAGAGATTTTAGGAATATTCCTCTTCTCTATCTCTCTCTCTCTCT